GAAGGGGGAGGGAAGGAGGAGTAGGGAAGGGAGGGAAGGAAGGGGGGAAGGGGGAGGGAAGGAGGGGGAGGGAGGGAAGGGAGCCTGGAGCTGCTTCTGATTCTGTGTCTCCCTCTCTCTCTGACCCTCCCCTGCTCATGTTCTCTCTGTCTCTCAAAAATAAATGAATGTTAAAATTTTTTTTAAATAATAAAATTAAAAGAAAATTAAAATTAAAAACCACATGCAAGCAACATGGCCACACACGCACCACAGAACGACGCACAGACGTGGCTGCCCGTGGGGAGGCGTGGAAGGCACCGGGGAAGTCGGCTCGAGGGGGCATGACCCTGCCCGGTGGGAACTATGCCTGTGCCTCCAGCGGGGCTTTGGGGCGCTCCCGTGTCCCCCGCGCCACCGCTGTGTGCCCTCAGCCTCCCTGACCTCCGGGCCCCCGCCTGGCTCCCAGCGGACCGTCCCCTGGCCCGGCCCCCACCCGGCACACACCACCCAACAGGCCCAGCTCCCGCCGCACCCCCGGCGCCCGGCACCTACGGAAGCCTCCCCACTGCGCTCCGAGGCTGCTGCCACGCGGGCCACCTTGGAGATGACAGGGGCCACGTTGGTGGGGCCGTAGAGCTGGACCCTGGGCAGGCAGTTCTGATAGGCCTCCACCACGCCCTGGATTCCTACGGGGAGGGGGGAGGAGGGTGAGCCTGGCCCCGGCGCACCCCCCCCACCCCCTCATGTCTTACCTTCACACTCATCGTCCTCAGGGTTGAAGTTGATGGCAAAGTCATGGGACACCTGGGTGGGCGCAGAGGGACTGTCAGCTGGGTGAGCCCTCAGGACCCCCCACGTCCCCGCCTAGTGGGCGCCTGGGCTTGTGGCCTGGGACCAGCTTGTGGAAAGGGCCTCGCAGAGGGAGTCGCCTGGGTCAGAGGGCAGACGGAGGGGCCCTGGGCCCGCTCCTCCCCTGCAAGCCAGCGGCCCCCGGCTTCTGAGTTGCATTAACCAGTAAATCCCTCCCACCACCACGTTTTTCTGCTTAAGCCACGTGAACGGCTATTTGCAACTGGAAGACTCCAGACTCATTCCCCTTCTCCACACAGAGACGCGGAGTTTGTCTTCAGTTCTCAGGGGTCACTAGCACTAGGTGACCAAGGTCAGCCTCTGGCCACAAGTGCAGGGTCCTTGCAACCTCCCCACTGTCTGTCCCGTAGGAGCCACGCTCCCAGCAGGGGGAGCAGCAGCCAAGGGGCCAGGACCCAGGACGGCCTCGCTGGGGAGAAGGGGGGCCGCGGAGGCCCCCCGGCCCCCGCAGATGCGAGGGGGTGGGGCCGACGTCCCCAGGCTCTCCTACCTCGTACTTGGGAGGGATCCGGGCTCCAAACCCCAAAGCAGAAAATCTCTTGTCACTGCAAGAGAAGCAGCCCCATCACACGAGCTCCCTGATTTCCCCGGGGTGGGGGGTGGTTTGGGGAGACACCCACCTGAGCCAGGACAGCCGGTTTCTATCCCACCCCTGGGTGACCACTTTCCGGGGGGCCCGGCTCTGTTCCGAGCCACGTGGCAGAAACCGAGCACTGAAGACGCCCACATCCAGGCAGGGGCAGAGCCAGCCTCTTTGCCTCTCTTTGCTCTGGGACCAGCAGGCGCTTGCTTGGGCGGCAGCCTGCCTCTGGGACCTCGGCTCTCTGCCCCCCACCCCCGACAGCCCTCTGTTCATCCGTGGCCTCAGTTTACTGGCCTGTACAGCGGGACATAGATCCCCTGTGTGTGTGTGTGTGTGTGAGTGTGCGTGCGCACGCGTGTGTGCACACAGGGCGAAGGCCATGTGACTGAGGCCCAGCCCCACCTCAACACATGCAGGTTTTGACTCGAGCTTCACCTCAGGGATCAGCTACGCAGGACGGGGGTCTGGCCCGTGGAGCGAGCCCCACCCACCGTGGCCCATGTGCCGCCAGCCTCGGGCAGGTTCCTCAGTCAGTGTATACAGTCATACCGTGTACACAGTGGAAACGGTCTGGGCCCAAGTCTGTGCTGCAATCAAGGGAGGCTGGGAGGTGACGGACGAGTGAGGGGGGTAGGGGCCACACCTGTCACTGTCCCGGGGACAGGGCAGTGGGGGCCGCACCTGTCATCGTCTCAGGGACAGGGCAGGGGGGGGGGCACCTGTCATCGTCCCGGGGACAGGGCAGTGGGGGGGCACACCTGTCATCGTCCCGGGGACAGGGCAGTGGGGGGGCCGCACCTGTCATCGTCCCGGGGACAGGGCAGTGGGGGGGGCACCTGTCATCGTCCCGGGGACAGGGCAGTGGGGTCACACCTGTCATAGTCCTGGCAGATCTCTCCCACGGCCACCAGGGCCTGCAGGTACTCGTTGGGCTGGAAGGGATTGATGTAGTGCAGGGAACAGCTGTTCCTCGGGTCACCGTTGGAGGCTGTGAAATCGATGGCCACCTGCAGAGGCCCGGGCTCATGAGCTGGGGGCCCCTCTCCCACCTGGGCTGGACTAGGCACCCAGAGCCCCATCGCACAGGTACGGGGAACGAGGCGTGGGGAGCTGCTGGGTGAGGGGTGCAAACCCGAGGGCCCGGCTCTGTGCTGGGGTGAAGGGCAGAGGGCAGCCTGGGGAGAGTGGGCATCGGTGCTGACCAGCGAGCCCGCACCCTGCCAACCCCCAATCTGCCCAGAACCCCAGGAGAGAAGCACCCATCCAGGTGATACCAGCCCATGGCCCACAGCGCGGTCCCACTGAGCGCTAAGCACCTCGGGCCAAGTGCCCTGGGCGCCGGGCGGGCATGCTAGGGAGGGACCCAAGGCCATGACCAGGCACATCTCTTCTCTGCTGCCACTCCACCCGGGCAGGGACTGAGGGTTCGAGCCCTGGGCTGGGGTCTCCACGTGGCTTCCCGCAGGCCAGTGTGGCTGCCACTGGGTGGAGTGACATGGACGTGTGCGGCCACGAGTGAGCCGTGGGGTGACACGGAGCCACAGACGCCGGGCTCTGTGGCTCCACTACCGCCCACACAGCTGCAGACAGAGCCGTGGCCACTCGGTCTGTGGCCTCTGCCGTTGTCGCCGGCTGTCACACGTGCCACTACATTCTTGCCACGCGTCTCTGTCTTTGCGTCTGTGGACCGTGGCCCCGGGCAGCTCCTGAGACCCACCTGCCCTTTCCATCTGCGCAGGAAGAGCAACCCCCGGAAAAAGGCGCACAAAACCCAGAGCCCAGGCTGGGGTGGGCGGACTCCTGACCCGCTGAAGGGCCTCACTGCACCCGCTTATGCACAGCCGCCCCGGGCACCAGGCCGGGCTCCGAGTTACATCCAGGGTGGGCAGGTGCCCAGGCTCTGCTGGTGTGGACGGGCCCCGTGCACTCACGGTGAAGTGGATCTGACAGCCGCCCATGATGTAGTCCAGGAAGGAGTAAACCCTGTAGGACTTCCAGGCAGGGAGGTCGGCAGAGCCCACCCACGGTGCCCCGACCCCTGACCCTGAGGCCGGAGCCCGGGGACCTGCCCTTCCGTCCCAGCTCTCTGCCGGGGCAGCCCCTGTCCATTTCCCTCCTCTGTCTCCCCCTCCCGTCCATCCCGCCCACCCCCCTCCCCCAAGAACTGGGGGCCACCGGACCCCTGGCATCCATCTGACTTGGGGAGACTTGCCCCTGCCCTGTTCCCTCTCTGGAGAGTTCAGGCGGGAGCCGCCCCCACCCCGCTGTGGGCGATGGGGCGTCTGCAGGCGGGGCCGCGGCTCACCTTCAGGTCTGCCAGGATGACCACCCCAGAGTTCTTGTAACTACGCTTCCTCTGCCTGTACTTGGCATTGACGCAGTCCCACTGGGCCTGGGGCACAGGGAGAGACAGAGACCCCACCCCACAGCGCCAGTGCCCAAAACCCACTTCAAGGGGGCAGGGAGGCCTCAAAGCCCCAGCTCTGGACCGCACTTCTCCAACCGTGACGTGGTGACTGGCATCCCTACTCTGGCCACCTGGCGGGCGTGGTCCTCGATCTTCTCTGGGTTTTGCCAAGAATAACAACTTCTGGAGCCGACTCAGCTCAGGCTGATGCCCTACCTGTCCTGTCTCTTGTGGCTCGTCCCAGCGAACCCTTTCAGACGGGTCAGGACTCCACTTTCCCCCCGTTTGGGGAGGGGGGGAGGGGGAAGGGGGCCCAGCTCACCTGGTCCTCCCCGAAGGCTTTCTGCATCTCCTCAAAGGTGGTGGAGAATTCCCCGATGAAGTCGTGCTTTCCTCGGGAGTCGTAATCCCAGACGAGGCACTGGGGAGGAGCCCAGGCCCCCTCAGCCCACCTGCCCCTCCGGGGCCCCCCACCTGGATGTCTCCAGTCCCCTGCAGTCAGGCCAGCCCTCACCCCCCCCATACCTGGCCCCCCAGCTCACCCCACCTTCAGAGGCCGCGTCTCCTCACAGCTGCACAGGCTGCTAAGTGACACCTTGAAAGGCTCCCACACGGGGCTGAGGTTGTTCTTGACCACCTGTGGGGGGGCGTGCTCAGGCTCCGGGCAGGACTGGGGGCGCAGAGGGCAGGGGCGGGGGGTGGTGCTCAAGCTCTGGGCAGGACTGGAGGCCCAGAGCCCCTATAGTTCTGAACCTGTTCCTTTGTAACTTCTGCCACATTCCTGGGCCCCCTGAACCCCCTTTTCTTTAAATAGCCTCTTTTTTACCTAAATTAATTTATCTCAAAACCAAATGCTCTTGGGGCACCTGGATGGCTTCATCGCTTGAGCGTCTGACTCTTGGTTTCGGCTCAGGTCATGAGCCCAGTGTCGGGCACAGTGTGGAACCTGCTTGGGATTCTCTCTCTCCCTCTCTCTGCCTCCCGCCCCCCGCTTGCATGCATGCACCTGCAGGCGGGACAGAGAACACAGCTGTGGATTCAGCGCCTGGCCTGCGGCTCCCTGCTGGAAGGAGATGGGTGCTGGAGGTGAAGGCCCCCACAGCCATTGGGGTCCTGGGAGGGCACGGGTGGGGGCGACAGGCTGGCTTCGGGCCCCCTCTCCTCACTCCCACCCCCAAAGCGCTGCGGGAGCGTCAGGTGCTGGCGGGAGCCCTCACCTCGGTGCGGTGCACCAGCTGCTCGCTCTGGTCGTCGTTGACCCGGTACAGCTCCAGGAAGGGGTCTGACTTGCTGAAGACGTCCTGGGGCCGGAGCACAGGCTGTGCTGGGCCTCGAGCCGCCGTCCGCCCCCTGCAGTCTCTGTCTCCCTAGCTAGGTGAGGGCTGGCCCTGCCAAGAGCCTCTCAGAGTGCCCCCAACGCCTTGCCTCCCCTCTAGAGCCTTCACTGGCTCCCCAGCACCCTTGCTGTAACTGCCAGGCCCAGGCCGACCCCCTCTCCGGCCACGTCTGCACACCCCCAGCCAGCACCACCCCGACGTCTGTGCCGTCCCGGGGACAAGGGCTCCGATTCGGGAGGGCAGAGGTGGGGGTGGGCCCTTGTCGCCAGGGCGGCCCTGGCCCCACGCGGGTGGCTCCGCTCACCTTGTCGTCCAGCTTCCTGGCCCGGAAGGACAGTTCCACGTAGCCATTGTTCCCAGATATGTCCTCGGCGACCACCTGGGGGGGAAGCCAGGGCTCCGGGCTCCACTCGCCAGGCCTGACGGCAGGCACTCGGACCCCCGGCAGCCTCGGGCCTCGCCCCGCTGACTTCCAGGACAGGCCTCCCGGAGCCACGATGAGAGGGGGTGGGGGTGTGCAGGGCGGAGGGGCTGGGTGGGAAGGCAGGCGGCCTCACCGTGATGGTGGACTTGCCGGCATTCCTGCCGAACTTGAGCAGCAGGGCGCGGGTCATCTTCTTCTGGGCCACGATCTGGAAGCCGGAACAGTCAGGGAGGGTCAGCCCCTGTCCCCTCAGGACCCCGACCCGGCCCTCAGTCTCCCTGGGCAGCCCAGCTCCTCCAAATCGACGCCCCAGGACCCCACGCCCTCCCTCGGGACACGCAGCCACCTGACATCCCTCTGCATGGCCCCGCCTCTCGCCCAGGCAGGGGCCCTCGCTGGCGCTGCTTCGAGAGCCCACATGTCAGGAGGGGACACAGGCTCAGTGAGGACACGCTGCCGGGGGGCCCGGGAACACACACCAGCCCCAGCTCCTCGGCAGCCCAGGGCGGCCCGGGCGGCCCCAGTCCCTGCCCCAAGGGCAGCAAGGGCCTCGAACAGCCTCCCGGCCAGCAGGACTGGACTCCCGGGCTGTGGGGCTGGCAGAGAGTCAGGAGCAAGACCTCGACCCCGGTCTCCACCATCCTGTGGGGCCTCCCTGTGGGCTCCTCCCCACCCCTGCCCACCTGGGATGCCCCCTCCACTTCGACCCGCCCTCATTTGGCTACAAGCCCCTAACGGGGACACAGAGCTGACACCAGGAAGCCCACGCAGCCTGGGCCACCTGCTCACTAGAGGGCAGCACTGAGGCGGCAGGCGCCCTGGTCTGCGGAGTTGCTCAAGGATGACCGCACCCTCTCCCACCCGCCGCGGCTGCCAAGGGGTCCATGACCTTGTGGGGGACTCCACTCACTTGATGGCCAGCTGTCACCATGGTGACAGGGACAGCAATGCTCAGCAGCGCTCCCCGAGCCCGGCCACCGCGCAGTGAGCGAGTCCAGACCCCACGCAGCGTACGCCCAGCCCACACGCCCCTCGGCCGCTGCCTCGCTAACAGCTTCCCAGCATGCGGGAACACTTCCTGTCTGTGGGAAGGTCGCCACGGGCCAAGGGGTGGGAAAGCCGCCTTCAAGGTGTCAGCAAGGGCGGCCGTGTGCCTCCAGCTGCTCTCACCACAGGCGGTGCTGCTGGGGGCTCTCCCGGTCGGGGGTGGGAAGGCTACTCTGTGAAGCAGCTCGTGGTCAATAAGCTCTTTCTGCTCAGTCCCCTCAGACACCCACTGCTTGGAGGTTCAGACAGAGGTCAGGGACTTGGTCAAGGTTGTGCAACTGGGATTCACAGCCAGTGTCCATACCCCTGACCACTGACCGCAGCTCCTCTGATGGCCACGCAGGCCTCGATGGACCTTTTCACTGTCTGAAGTTTATATGTCGATCCAGACACACGTGGGCTCATACAGGTTTGTGTCCACGAACACGTCCACGCCCGTGTGCCCGTGTGTACATGCGTGTCTGCGCACACATGTCAATACATGTGTGTCTGATGGGCCCGTGGAACCCAGTTCTGCGGCTGTGCAGTGACCCACGCTGTCATCTGTACAATGGGATGACAGGGGACCCACCCCAGACCAGCCCCAACGCAGACGGCAATGGGGATGAGTCATGGACAGCATGTTGGGTAAAAGAAGCCGGGCACAAATGAGAACACACCGTGTGATTCATGAACAAGAAGTTCTGGAACAAGCAGAATGCAGGGATTGGCTGGAGAGGAGGGGTATGCAGGGTGATGAAACGTTCTGTGTGGGCCGGTGATGGTCAGAACACGGGGACCTAAACTCATCATAAACCCCAAGGTCTACACGTCCTGCTGGATGGAAATTATGCCTCGATAAAAAGGAAGCCTCTCCCACCACAAGCTGAGAATGAAGTGCGCGGCGTGAAGCCTGGCGCCCGGGCAGTCTCGGTGGCGGCTGGCAGGCGCCCTTGCCGTGCTGGCACTGGCAGAGCTACCGGACAGGCCATCATCCGAGGAGAACAGCAAACAGTGTCCTGGGGGACGGCAGCCGCCAGTGGCCTGGCCGGTCCGCTGCAGGGAGGGGAGGGGAGGGGCCCGCCGGCCTGCCGAGCGGAAGGTATGTCCCGGCAGAGAAGAAAGCAGGTGCACATAGTGATGTGCATGTAATGTGTGCTTAAAAAATACCTACATACACAGAGAGAAGAAACATACACTCGTGTTCTCATGTGAGAATATGAAGCCGGACACAACTCGGGGACAGGCGACTTCCATGGCTTGCCTTTCACACTCCCGAATCTTGAATTATATGAATGCATTACCCAGTTCAAAACGATACAATTTTAAAACTAACTAATAAGGAATTTTTAAGAGAAGTCACCATGGAGACGGGCAGAGCAGGATGCGAGTCCCAGAGGGTCCTCCGTGGTGCCTGGCTCACCTCCAGCTTGAAGCAGGCTGTCCCTGCACCGCCCCCCGCGCCCCCCACCCCGCCCTCCAGCTCTCAGCATTAGCCCAGCTGCACTTCCTGCCCTCCGGCCTCTCCTGCCCTCTTCCCTCCCCCTCCCGAGGGGATGGGTCAGGGTTGGGGGGCCCACCTGCCCCAAGGTGCACTCCATGCCCCCAAGGAAGTCGTCGTCCTGATAGCCAAGGTTGCTTGGTCCAGGGGTGTCATAGACCTCAAAGCGCAGCTTCTGTACCTCCTCAAAGTAGTAGTCGAGCGTGAAGACCTTGGAGAACACGGGGTGCAGGCTGCTCCGGACCACTTCGGTTCTGTCCACCTGCGAGCAGCCAGTGTGGGCAAGCCCCACAGGGGAACGGCTTCCCCCCCGGCACTCCCTAGCGCCTGGCCCCAGCCTCCCCTCACCTGCCCTCACATGCTCCTGGGAAGGCCCTGCCCCCCTCAACCTGCACTCCAATCCTCAGGCCCCCAAGCCCCACATGGCTTGCGGCCACCCCTGGGGGCGGGGGCACTTCCAGCGGTCCTGGGCACCTCCCTCCTGGAAATAAAGACCCGCACCCCTGACCAGCCACAGGCTGCAGTCTCTGCATTTTCTCATGTCATGCCCACCAGAGCCTGCTCTATCCCCGTCACAGATGGGGAAACTGAGGCTCAGAGAAGGCAAGAGTCCTGTGCAAAAGCAGTCCAAGTCAGGAACAGAGTTGGATCAGAATCCTGAGCTGGGCAAACCCAAAGTGGAGATCTCTCCCCAGCCGGGCAGGCAGGGAGATGGGGTGGGGGCAGACGCCCTGGGTTCCACATCTCTCCTGCATCTTGGCCCGTCTATGCCCCCGAAGCACAGTCCAGCCTGGGCAGGTAGGTTCGCCCCCCTCCAGGGTCCACAAACTCCCCCACTCTCAGACGGGGGGTCTTGGGGGCCATCCTTTCTCAGGGACACCTGCGCCAGGTAGGGCTCAGGCCAAGCAGCAAAGACTAACGGGAGGGAGGGTACAGACCCTCTTCACAGACCCTCCCCGGTGGCCCCACCACCACAGACACCGGGCTGGGCAGGCCCTTCGCCTCCAAGGTCAAAGACGGGCAGGGTTTGGCAGCCCCAGGAGGCTGGTGGTCCAGAGACCACAAGAGACAGCACGAGGTCGGGGAGCAAAAAGCTGGTCCCCAGAAGCTGGCGCCTGAGGCCTCCAGCTCTGTGTCCCTCACAGGAGGGGGCCCCACGGGTCTGCCTCCACCAGGTCCCGCCCGCTTACCCACCCAGGTCCCCCGTCCTGAACGCCAGGCCATGGCCAGGGGGCGTGCTAGAGCACGGGGAGGGACCCCTCAACTCCATTGCGGCTTCAGCCCCCAACCCCTCCGGCCCACAACCCACGTTTCTCCGCCTTTCAAGGTGAAGTGCACACAGGAGTGGTGACCGAGAGAGCACTTTGCACGTGGACAGCACCCTGAGCTGCTGCCACAACCTCCATGGGGAGGGCTGGGCTGGGGGCCAGGGGGCAGCAAGACACCCCAGTGACCCCCAGGACCAAAGGGTATCAGAGGAAGAACCAGGTCCGCGGGGAGAATGAACCAGACCCCAGCCGTCCCGCCGGGCCAGGTGCACCGCGCTGGGTGGCCCGGGCTGGACACTCAGCTGGAGTCGCCACAACGGGAGGGCGGGCGCCGGGCGGCCCTGCAGGTGGGTCACAGATCAGGTCTCTGCCCAGTGCCCCAGCCAGGTCAGCGGTCCCGCCAGCCCAGCGGCCCCCCCGGCCCCCCCCTGCTCCAGGCTCTGAGGTCTGGGTGCCTCTGCCTGGTGGGTGAGGGCCTGGCAGACAGGTGCCCTTCCCGCGTGCCCCACAGGCCAGGGGCGTACCCGGGAGCCCAGGCCAACCCTGCGTCCCCACTGGGGCCACACCACTCCGTCCTGCAGCCCCCAGGCCCTTCTGCGCCCCTTAGTAAAGCCCTTGCCAGCACACTCCAGCCTGGGCGCCTCACCCGTGCCCCCCGCACCCCCCACGCGGGACCCTGGTCACACCGCGCTGGGGAGCTCCCTCTCTCTACCTGGGGTCCTCTCAGTCGCCTCCGGTCCAGCGCCCCCCGGCTCCCGGACACCCCCTCTCTAGACCTGGTACCCCAGCCCTGACGGCGCCCCGCCCCTGCCCACCGCCTCGAGGCCCCCGCCCCGCCCCGCCGGCCCGCGGCCGCGCCCCCACCTGCACCCAGCGGCCCTGGGACTGCAGCAGCAGCAGCACGCGGGGGTCGGACTTGGTGAGCGGGTCGCGGTCCAGCAGGTGGCGGCAGCTGAGCCGCAGCTCCACCCGCGAGGCGCGGGGCGCGGGCACCCCGCCAGGGGCCGCCGCCGCCCGGCGCTCCGAGCCCGCGCTCATGCCCGAGGCTCCGGCGCTCGGGGACCGGGACCGGCCGGGCGCAGCGAGGGGCCGCCGCGTCGGGAATGACGGCCGGCCGGGCAGGCGCCTCCCCGCCGCCCGCACACGTGGCTCCCGCGGCCGCCGCCGCCGCGCACGGGGGCTGCGGGAGGGGGGCCGGGAGGGGCGGGGCGGGAAGGGCGCGGGCCACGGGGGGTCTGCGGGAGGCCCGAGGCCGCCCTCCGTCCCACAGCCCCCGCCTCAGGGTTGCCCGGGGTCGGCCGAGTTCAAATCCCGGGGTGGGGGTGGGGGGGCCGGGGAGGTGGGGGCGGAAACCCTGCGGAGAGGCTTGGGGTCTGGGCCAGGCAGCACCCTCCCAGACCGCAGGCTGCCCCAGGGCCGCGAGTGGGGGTCCAGCAACCCCCCCCCCCGAGTTTCTCCCCGGGAGCCCATCTGGAGGCCCCGCGGCATCTGGGGATGAACCGCTGCAACAACGAGCGCTTCGGAGAACTCGCTGGGTGGCAAGCACCCCTGGGCTGGGCCCCGAAATGAGAGAGCAGGTCCCCGTCTTGGTGGGACGTGTGTTCCAACAGTGGGGAGCCCCTGGCTGTCCCGGGGTGTCCGGCTGAGGCTCAGAACCCGACCTGGCACATTCCTCCCCTGCAGCCAGAGGGGACAAGCTTGGGGGCCGTGGGGGGGACCCCACCCCGCCCTGAGAGTCTCCCCGTGGCCCCACCGCCCCAGAGGAAGGCCTGCGGAAGAGGAGGTGTTGCCAGAGGCACAAACCACCTCCCAGCCCATTCTCTTTCCCAATTTTTGCCTAAAAATAGGGCACAGATCTGGCCCAAAGCCATAGTGGGAGGGGGGCAAGAAGAGAGTTTAGGGTGAAGGGGCCTGAGGGCGGGCGAGCAGAGAGCGGGTATCTGGCCCTGTGCCCTCAGGCTGATGGGGCTCAGCCTCGGCCTCCTGGGCTGCAGAAGATTCTGGGCCAGGGTCAGGCAGGCAGAGGCCCTCCCTGCCGCTGTGCGTGGAGGGCGTTCCGGCACGGAGACGAAACAGCTTGCAGCTGGGGTGCGTGCGCTGGTCTCCAGCCCGCGGGCTCGCTTCCCAGGCACCTGGGTAAAGGGCAGAGGGCAGTGAGACACAGCGAGGGCTCTGAGGCCAGGCGGTGCCCCGCCCCGCCTCGTCCAGCCGCCCTGCTGCTCCTCCGGGCCTGGCGCAGGTCCAGACAGCTCTGGGGTCCGGCTCTCAAGGGCTGGCCGCTCTCTGTCGTGACCAGCCTGGCGCCCCCGCCTCTTGCCCAGACCTGCTTCTCAGAGCCGAGGGGAGTCGGTGTTGGGCCCACCTGCCCGGTACGTGGGCTTGCGGTGGCGGTTCCTGGGCTTACAGGGCCCCAGGCCGCCCAGAGCCAGGTCTCCGGGGACACCGGCCCCACCTGCACCCCGGGCAAAGCCCCTTGGCCTCTCTGAACGTCTGTGGGGCTCAGGGGCTGGGCTCAGGCGGACACCCAGCACCTCTCTGCCTGGCCCGGCATCTCCTGCAAAGCTCCGGGTCTTCCCTGGCCGGCTCCTCGGTCTGCCGGGACTTGGGGGGCCTTCCCCTGAGGACTGCCTCCCCCAAGTTCGACGTCCATGCCTGACCTCTGCGGCTGACAGGGGGCAGCTGCCGGGTGTGGGTCGCTGTGGCACCCGCCACCCCGCTGCGCGCTCCATGCCCACTGCAGCGGTGTGGAGCCACTCAGTGCGCACGTCAGCTCCATCTCACGGGTGAGGAAAGGGGGACGCAGGGGACACCTGACTCGGCAGTGGGGGCGCAGGGCTTCAGCCCCGACCCCAGAACCGTTCCTAACCATCACGCACACAGCACCACGGTAACAGGTGGCACATCCATCAGGTGACAGAGGAAAGACCATTCAGAGCCGGGGAGCTCGAGCGTCTGAGATGTTAATGGGCCCCTTGGGGTCTCCGGCCGCCGCCTCACAGGGTGTGGCTGCCCCCACAGGGCCGGGGCCCTGCGCCTCGGCTCCAGACGGCACCGATGGAAAGAAACCACAGCAGGAAAAGCAGATTTTCCGTAACCCTGGTCCACGGCGCCCGCACCAGCATGGCCATCCCGGGTTTTTAGGACAGGCGGCCGGGGCGGGCTCCCTCCTCCCCGCCCGGCCCCAGGGCTCTGGGGACACGGGAGGCCAGGAAGGCAGGCGCGGGGGGAGGCGAGGCCCCGTCCTACGTTTTGTCCTTCTTGTGCAGACCAGCCTACGCTCCGTGCCGGGAACGCAGGACGTGTGGAGAAGCACGTGGAGAGGAACATTCTAGCGCCAGCCGTGAGCATGAGGAGCGCTGCGGCATCTACCCCTCCAGCCCTTTTCCCTGCAAATCTGTTCGTACCACTTTCCACGAGTCGCCTCCAGTGACTGGGCCCGTACCACGCGTGGCTCATCAGGCTGTCAGCGCGAGGGCCGCCGCCGTGTCACCCCCAGCCCCTGGGCCCAGGACCACTTGGGTGCCGCCGCGCGCTACCTGCTCAGTACCCGTCTGTTGCAAAGTACGTCAGCTTTGTAACCTGTTTCTTCTTTTCTTTTTTTTTTTAAAATTTTTTAATGTTTTTATTTATTTCTATGAGAGAGAGAGAGAGAGACAGCATGAGCAGGGGAGGGCCAGAGAGAGAGGGAGTCACAGACTGAAACAGGCTCCAGGCTCTGAGCTGGCAGTCAGCACGGAGCCCGACGCGGGGCTCGAACCCACGAACCGCGAGATCATGACCCAAGCGAAAGTCGGACGCTTAACCGACTAAGCCACCCAGACCTGTTTCTTCTTTTCTTAACGGTTTATGGCCTCCTTCCGCGGCGGGGACTCAGTGCGTGTGCCCCGCCCCCAAATTCACGTGTTGAAGGCCCGACCCCGGTGGATGGTATTAGGAGGTGGGACCTTTGGGGGGCTCTGGGGGCTCAAGGTTAAGCGTCCGACCTTGGTTTCGGCTCAGGTCCCAGTCGTGCAGCGTGGGGAGTTCAAGCCCCGCGTCGGGCTCTGTGCTGGGAGCCGGGGCCCTGGGGCCTGCTTGCGACTCGTTCCCTCTCTCTCCGCCCCTCCCCCACGCACGCCGCCTCTTTTCCAAAATAAATAAACTTTAAAAAAAAAGTAAAAATAAAAGGAGGTGGGACCTTTGGGTCCCACCCTTGAGTCCATAAGGGTGTGACTTGCGAGTATGACTAGGGCCCCGAGAAAGCAGCCCCTCAGGGGTCCCCGCCCTTCCCCCATCGTGAGGACACAGCAAGGAGGAGGCCGTCACCCGACCCTGAGGCCGCCGGCACCTCGATCCTGGGCGCTCAGCCTCCGGGACTGTCGGTTGTTTGGAAGCGCCCCAGTCTGTGGTAGTTTGGTTTCAGCAGCCGTTCTACCTCAACAGCAGCCCCTTAGCGCCCCCCAGCGGCCCCAACGGCCCCCCAGCGCCCCCCATCGGACCCCCAGCGCCCCCCGAGCGCCCCCCAGCGGCCCCCCAGCGCCCCCCAGCGGCCAGTTCTGGTAGCCGCCTGCTTGTAAATAAGGTTTAATTGGAACGCGGCGTGCCTGTCGGCTCACATTCTGTCTGGCGTTGACCTTGCTCCGGAGCAGAGCTGAGTTGCCGGGACGGAGACCGTGGGGCCCGGAGAGCCTGAAATTACTGCTCTTCCTTGAAGATGCTGGCCACCCGGTCTGCCCCCCGGCTCCCGCTGCCTCAGCCTGGCGCCCGCTAACCCAGCCCCTGCCCGGCCCAGGGGCTCGGAAGGGGCCCCCCGGGGGATCAGCTGGTCAAACCAACCATTCCTGAGGCATTTAACTACCTCCCGTTTGGTTTTGTTTTCTTTTAAGTTTACTTATTTACTTATTTTATTTTGAGAGATGGAGAGTGAGCAGGGAAGGTGCCGAGAAAAAGGGAGACAGAGAACCCCAAGCGGGGCCTGCGCTGTCAGCACGGAGCCTGATGCGGGGCTCAGCCTCCCGAGCCTCGAGATCGTGACCTGGGCTGAAACCGGACTTGGACGCCTAACCGACCGAGCCCGCCAGGTCCCCCCGCCATTTGGTGCTTTGGATTCTTCCACATCATACATTTTGGAGCAACAACAAAGAACCCTTTGGTGGACGACAGGTGCTTCGGGCCCCCGCGGTCTCCGCCAGCCAGCAGCCGTCCCCGAGCTCTGGGCCTCGCCCCCACCAAGCCTGCCTCTGTCCCCTCACCCAGAAAGTGGGACAAGGCAGAGTCACCTCCAGGGCACGTCCTTGTGTGTGGGGCTCGGAGGTGGGGAGGGTGCGCCGGCCACACCCCTCCCCCCTGGCCCTGCTCCTCGTGGGACAGAGGACGCGGCCACCGCAGGCCACTGCCCAACAAGCCAAGAGGGTGTTTGGGAAGGCTTGTTGGCACCGTAGAAACGGTGGGCAGGGGTGGGCAGGGGTGGTCTCCAGAAAGGGAACAGGGTGCGCGTGTCCGGCCGGGCTCTTCCTTTCATCTGCTCGTTGCACACATACTCTCTTCCGCTGTTTCTTTCCTCCCGAGAAATGCTCTTTTATCTCAGAACATCTGCAATATGTCTCGATTGGATTGTTTTCCTACAAGATTTAACACTTTTCTTACTTTAAGTCAGACAGTTGCACCCAGAGGGCCACCCGGCTGGGACGACACACACATCCGCGGTCCAGCGGGGCCTCGGCCGCTTGATCACGACGGCATCAGGGAGCTGGGACCCTCCTGCCTCACCCCACACGCATGCACACAGCACACGCATGCACACACATGCACATACACCCCACACAATGCACACAGCACACATGCACAGCACATGCATGCACACCCCACATGCATGAACACAGCACACACATGCACACAGCACATGCACACACACCCACACAACGCACACAGCACACGCACGTACGCCCACATGCATGTACACCCCACATGCATACACACAGCACACACACACACCCCACATGCACATACACAGCACACACATGCACACACCACATGCATGCACACAGCACACACACGCA